TCGTTTCCAGTTTGATTTCGAGATTTCGCATTTATATTTTGTTAATGCTAAAAAATGTTAGCAAATTTACAAAGTGAAAGTTTTTTTATAAATGAAATAGTCCGTATACCTAACAGTATTTAATGATATATTTATGATTACTCAAATAAATAAAATTATTTTATAATCTACTTCACTCATTCGTGGAAATGAAAATATTTCTAATGATTTTTGACACGATGATTCTCAAAATTACTTATTGCCTTTAGTGTGGTTCTTTGAAATATATAGAGTCTAAAAGATATAGATTATTTAATTCTATAAACGGATTTTTTCTTAACTACAGAAGTAATAGTTCCTAAGACCTTTACAGTCAAGCAAACTAATATCTAAAAATATCTTATATAGAATACTAAAGAAGTAGAATTAAAGAGCAACGGGGATGTATCAAAATGGCTGTAAATAGAAGTTACTCTAATTATTTAAAATAATTAGCTTTTTAAGATTAAAGTTTTATAATATCTATTATGGTTGTGACCACAACAATAAGTACCAATATCATTAAAAGAGAGATTAATTAAAATATGAAATAAAAATTGCAGAAAATGTATTTAAAATTTCACTTATATGTTCAGAACATCAACCTTTTTGGCCCGACCCAACATATTTGTTTGTAGTTGTACTGCGACCTAATTGTAACATATGATTCTATAAAAAAAAACGGGAGATTGCCTATGAGAGCTAAGAGTATTTGACCTGTTCCTCACCTTGACACACGGTAACAGCTGTCATTAGAAATGTAACCAGACCCATAGTTTGAGAAACGCTGATTCAGAAGACGAAAGTGAACTTAAGTTACAATAATTAAAGATTATGGCTAGTTGTAATATACAGAGTGATTCCTGAAATGATTGGAAATGAAGTCAAGGCTAGTGGTGGTAAATTCCGTTTATGATCGATAACTGTCATTCCGGTATATTTTTATAGTAAATCCTGATGGCTTTGGCGGAGCATGAAAAAAAAAGAGAAGTGCAGCATCTGTTTACCTTAGGCAAAAACGTAACCGTGTGCATCCGATGATCCGAGACGGATAAATCATTTCGGTAATTCTAAACAGACCATCGTAATATGCCGTGATATAATCTTCCTGTTTATTTTAGCTGGGGAAATAATCATCAGGGAAAAAAATCATTTGGTGTGTGTGTGTGAGAGAGAGAGGATTGGGGGGATACAGGGCATCGAGCCAAGCCTATCAATAACTTCGTAATGAACTTGTGGAGGCTCTATCTATTTTCCTTTTTTCCCTCTTTTCCACTTCTTCGTCTGGTGCCAGCTTTCTCTTCCTTGTCTTTTTCTAACACACATACACACTCTTCTTTCTTGTAGTCGCTCAACCCCCGTAGGCAATTTTAATTATTGATCGCATTTTGTATCTGCGGACGGCGGCGTAAAGTAATTAAGTACGCATTACATAATCAATTTGGCGTCGGGGACGGGGGTGGCCGGCCTCGGGGTTTCAGAATTAAGATGAAATTATTTCGCGCCCTCTTTGGGAGATGGGCGACCTAAGGATTTTCGCATCGTCGGAGCGTGTTTGGGGGTTGGCGTGTGTGTGGGAGAGTGGGTAGTTTCGGCGCTAGGTCAGGTCAGGTCGTTAAAAGTGTGGGTAGGTGGCCGGTTTAACTGGTTGTATATCGATCTTCTGGAACAAATCGCCAACGCGCGCGAGAAATGGGAGCGTACTTTTGGAGGAAGGAGCCTTCCGAGGAGTTCTACCATTCTATATTTTCTTTTACACACGCACCAAAGCAAACAGATCGTATCGATATTATGCTAAACCCGAAGAGTTCAGTTTCTTGTTGTTCTAACGAAACCTAAATCAATGTAGTAGTCAATGTGTACTAATTTCGATATGCAGGGTGAGTCTTACCAGTACTAATTTCATGCACTTATCTATAAAGTGTCCACAAAGATACATGATATTTCACTTATGATAAGCAACAAATGGTACTTGAATTGGTGACTAATATCCTTTACAAACAAGAAACAAATATAATTAGTCAACTCTAGTCAAAGAACATAGTATATAATACACATGTTAACACCATTCCCATTTCATTATGATACTACTAAGAAAATGTAATTGAAGAAAAGAACTAAGGTGTCCATATTTTAATGGTGGTAAGGCTGGATAACATCAGAAAAAGACACAATGTATCTAATTTAGTTTTATAACAAATGTTTATTTTATGAATTAGGGTTTGTCGGTTTTAAAACTAAAAAACAGTTTTTGAGCCTAGACTTAAAATAAAAAATTAATGAAAAGTTGACACTGTTGCGTGAAATGGAAATCTGAAATTCTAAGGTTTTAGTAATACTTTACAAAATACACAGAACGTTTTGACAAACACGTATTTTTTCGACTAGCTCTTCAAAAAGTGAGATCTTCAATTAGACAAATATTATCAAGATTGTATTAAATAGAAGCTTATGAAAAGCGGTGAAGAAGAAAAACAAGCCAAAGCATATCAAGATTCTGAAGATGTGATTTTGTCCTGCCCCAAGACAATAAAAATCGGATTGTTAGAGGGTACAAAGAAAAGAAGGAATATTTCAGATAATTATTAAATGCTATAAAGACGATTACACCCAGCTTAGTAGGAGAGGAGAGTTTTTTTTTTCATTTCTGAAAATTTTGTATGCGCAATAAATTCTATTTAATTTTTGTGAATATTAAATAATAAATAAGTTGTAATAATCCTATTTCTCCTATTATATAAGTGGAGATTTGAAAACCGGTTTTTGTATAATCCCTAACATGAATCATAAAATTAATTTCTTCAAATTGGAAAGCTTCTTACTTGAAAAGAGCTAATACTACGAAAATTACTTTAATATCCTTATATATATTTTATATTTATTACTTTTCGAGTGATTAAGTAAAACGTGAATGAAAGTAAAAGAAAATATTTAATAACTGAATAACATTGAGTGTGTTTTTTAAGGTTGAAATATTATATAATATTATATTATAACAAAATGTGACCAAAGGGCTATCGACTTAAGTCTTCGCCCCTAAGATATCATATTTTTGCTATCACGAGAATAAACAAATTGGCCTTGGAGTAAAAGAATAGAACACATTTTGATAAAATAAAGCTGTAAACACACAGTTTTGGCCTGAGAAACATATAAATCTCATATGATCAAATATTTCATCTCATATGAAATCTCATACAGTGTGAACGCAGCATTACATCATATTTTATTAAATATAATACGAAAATTTCAGGACAATTCAGCAATTTGCTCTATTCGAAAAGATCTCATTAAAACTTTTCTTTAAAAGTTGTACGTCTTTTCTTTGTTCTTTCTTTGTGCAAGTTGCTTAAAAATATATCACGGGTAGCTGTCAAGATACCCCATGGCTGCTGAGATTAATGCATGAATATTAAAAAAATATGAGTGTTCTCATAATTCTAAAAGCACGACAAAATTTAAATTTAATAATTTGTTTCCTACAACTTTCTAACAATTAAGTGTAAGTTTTTGGGAAGGGTGTGTAATTTGAATGTGTATTTTTTAAGACTTATTATGCAGTGTTTTTTTGCGCGACAAAGAAAAGGTTCATAGTAGTTGCTTGAAATGGACCATTATCGACATATCATGTATGAAGAAACGTTTATTATTGACTTTTTTTAAATTTTTCGTATCCAATCAATTTAAATATTTCAAATTATTCTCAGCAATTAACCGTTTAACACGTTAAGGACGGCGCTTTTAGGGTTGTCTGCCCCCAGAAAATTTTTCGTGGACGCCTATGGACTGAGTGAAAAGTCAAATATCTTACGTCAATTATAACTTTAAACGTTTAAATTTTTCTTATACATTTTTTAATGATATTGAAGCAATTTATAACAATTGTGGGAAAAATATTGAAATTTTCATTCAATTCTACTTGAATGAAAATTTCAAATATGCTTCGCAAGTTAATTTGTAAAGTATGCCTAAATTATGTCATAATATCACGTATTATTCTAAATTTCTTCAAGAATTATTAAAATATAATTGACTTAAGATATTTGAGGTTATTCTCAGTCAAAATCAGTGGCGTACATAGCAACAAAACTATTATTTATAATTAATGACCACCGGTGGGTCATGCCGTCGTCAATGTGTTAAACGTGTAATTCGTGATTTTCCATGTAATAATTTATTGGAATTATAAACCTTAACGTTTATATGTAAACCAGTAAATATATGTATTGGTAAAAAGACAATCTATTTCGGACACAAGCACATTTAGTTAGTACTTTTAGCCAACTTCATTCTAAACTCTCATTATATATTTTGACGGCTGACATTTCAAAGTTTATTTATAGCAAAAAAGATTACGTGCAATTGTTTCTTTGTTTTATGCAAGTTGTCGAGATACCTGATATCATACCTGTTGAGATTAATGCCTGAATATTAAAAAAAAATGCAATGTAAGAAAAAACAAATGAATTTAATAATTTATTTCCATCTTTCTAAAATCAAGTTTTCAATTTTATAAAAGTGAAATATCTTATGCGTATTTATTATGATTCTTGGTTCGTGAATAAAACTAACATATATACTTGAATTCTACTATCGTTTATTCACATTATGTGTGCAATTACCAATTTAGTTTTTGAGACATTGAAAATTATATTTATTTCTAATATCATGAGTAAAACTAATATTTAATCATACAAAATATGAATCAATCAATGAATCAATATTTTCATTGATAAATCATGTTTTATTTTAATTACTTGTACTATATTGTTTGCCAAAATATAGCTAACTGTGTGCAATATTTTTGTATAGACTTTCTATCGAGGTAAGAAGTATTAATACCATTAAAGTAATTGTTCTTTCATTATTACAAATTACTTGACAAGTATGGCTTAATGTTGATGTTGTGTTTGCTTACCAATTAAGATTTTTTTATCCAATGGGGAAATGTATAGTGATGAGAATATTTTCGCTTGTTTCAGGTTCAAAGTTCCTATGTTCCGAGGTGATAGCCCCCATCAGAAGCGACGTGGATGACATCAGTTTAATCATAATCAATTTCGAGGATCTGACGGCGGCGCCATCCGCATCTTTGGAGAACAGCCCAGTCGGCAAACCAAGATTGAGCAAATGTAATAATACTTCGCGAATACTCGACCCTATCCGATCCCATTCCATTCATTTCTTTTTCTCTTCCTCTTCCTTTCTTTCTTTCCTCATATATAAACTTTTTTGTTGTTGTTCGCAGCCAACTGTAACAAATGTTGCTCTTACTCATTATTTTTTTTGTTTGTCTGAGTTCCTTCTGTTTCCAGTTGACAGGGCGAGAGCTTCGTTCCGGCACAGCCTCAGGCTCGGCTCGAATTTGCGCGGCAGAGGACTCCGGATCGCCGGTTATCTGACACCTCCGAGTGACGTAACTGCTGCCGAAGAAGAGGCCGACACATTGGAACAATGGTAAGCATAGAAACAATCAACACGTACATCGTCCAGAAAATACATAACTTATGACCCATGTTTACATTTGTTTACATTTGAAGACCTCAAATAGTACGTTACGGGATATCAGCGGAAGTCGCACTATTCATATGTTTAATGGCCAATCTATTTGATAAACGTTTTTCTTCATAGTTTAGAATTATGTTTATTTTGTATACATTTAAATTCTGAGATTGATTTTCAGTATTTATATTTTTTGTATACAAAAATAGGCAATAATAATGAAACGTTCTTCACATGAAATTTGTCGATAATTGTCGACCATTTCGAGCACCTGTTATGAACCTTTTCTTAGAATTTAGAGACCCTAAAATCCGATTCGGGACACTAAACCGGTTACATTTTTATTTCGTTTCGATATCAAAACCTTTGTCGGACTGTCGTAAACGTACAATAAAATATTTTTTATATTAAATATAAAAATCCACAATATCATTGGGATTCATAAATAAAACGTCTGAACGTATGACGATCAACACTTTTTACTTGCATATTTTCCTATACACTTACATATTTACTTACGTAATATCATAAGCATATATCATTTAAGTTGGTAAACATGCAATTAATGTTACAATACGAATAATACATTATTTTTGTCATCGAATAGAGCAATAAAAAGCTAAGTAAATCTAAATATTTTCATTAATAATTAGTGGCATGTATCGCATGAATAGATAGATATGTTTTAGATTAAGTTGGTATGCATGTCATAATTGCACATACAAGTTATCAAATAAGCGTACTTCGTATATCCAGTTTTGATTAATTTGCAGTTCTTAATATTTCACATATTCTTACAATACATACTAAGATGTATTGTTCCAAATCATCATTTTTCTTTAAAAATTAAGAACTTCAATGCATAATTGCTCAAATATGATTGATTTGGTTTAACAAGCAATTACAGCGGTTTCCGAAAGGCAAGCATTACACAAACATTTATGTAAATTCCATGTCGTTGTCTTTTTTTCTTGCTGTTTTGCATCCTGAGGGCCGTCGATGGAAAATTATAGCAATTTCCGCGGCGCCCGTGCAGTGCAATCTCACCACAGGCATCTCTGCAATGGAAATATTTTCCTTGTATCCAACCAAGGTGTCAGAGGAGCTTAGGCAAACTCAATTATTCCCCCCAGCAATACATCGAAGATTGTATTTCCTCTCGGTTTAATATTTGTGAATCGTTATTGGATTAAAGCCTTTCAGAATCGCACCAAATCCGTTTTACGAATGCAAAGCTGCAAAACTTACGTTCACATAAGAATATGTAGAATTACTACAACATATTTACAGATGACAATCAACTTTTATTAAACACATGTCAAAAAGTATGTTCCTTTTTTATATTGCATTTTGAATAATAATATCATTTTGCAATTAAATATTTCCAAAAACCGAAGGTTTCTGTCCGTGAAATTAGATTTCAATTTATATGTTTACTAACGCAAAACAGAGAAAGAGCTCAAAAACAAATAATTACTTCAATTATTACAAGAAAAAATTACATTTTTCTATATTCAAATGGTTTTATAATCCAAGACGGGAAAACTATATTTTTAATCTTTGCGAACCCCTAGTTTACACTGTTATTATATTTAGTTGGGTGTCATAACTACAGATGAGAAAACTAAATTTCAAAAATTATATAGTATTTATTTTGATAGTATACGTACTATTTTGAAGAAAGAAAGGAATTTCAATAATATCAAAGCAGTCGAAACCAAAGTTAGTAAAAATAAATAAATAAGAGAAGAGATGTACAATGAGTACGTTGACATTTTGCAGCAAAATCCATAGTGTTACCTACCTGAAAATATTGGAAGCCGCACCTAAAAGTTTTGGTACAAACATTTAAAAAAAATCTCAATCAAAATGTGTATATAAATATTTTATATAATAGCCACAACAAAACTATTGAAGAGCCACACTTTGGCTACCCACACCTGCACTATATATGTTATACTAACTACATGTTTTCTGATAATATATGTACTCTGTATGAATATAAAGAAGAAATATATCTACAAAACAACATAAATAATTAAAATACAAAAATAAATAGAAATAGATTAAGTAAAACATGAAAAATACTTAGGTGTTATAAGATTAAGTTAGAACACAAATATGCAAAAAAAACTAATTTGCGTCAGCGATTGGAGCTATAAAAAATAGATAATTCCTAGAGAAATGCATTATGGGCATATAAGTATTTTCACGTCTAAGTTGTGCTATGGACTCACGGTATAGTGAAACAAGATAAAAAAACAACTTTACCTCTTAACGCCGAATGTTTCAAATTCGCAACATACCGTTTCTACAACAGTATGCGGGACAGAACAATATTTTTCGAGCAATGGTCGGGTGTAACATGTTTAGTACATAATATACAAGTTTAGTATATTATGACGCAGTGATATTTTCAGTTTTTTTTTGCTGTAAACACAGATTCTATAGTAAATAATTATAAAATTACTACATGTACTAAATATGTGTACTCTTGGTTAGTTGAATATTAGTATTTACAGAGATTATGTCGCTAATGTCTATCAACCGGCACTAAAAAGATGGATTTTATATAGCATTACCTTATTAGATCAAGAAAATGGTATCTGGATACTTTATCGCAAAGAATTCGAATCTTTGGGAATAGCACATGGATTTTTTGCAATTTCGAACCCATATATAAGAATTCTTAAGTAAAGAAGGAAAAGGAACTAATATTAAGAAAACAGGACGATGTTCATCATCTCCTCAAAAGGTATATGATAAAAGTAAGAAAAAGGACCCAACAACTATTCTTTCTTCTAAAAATGTAAGATTAGATGGAATGCAGTTATCCAGTTATCCAAGAAATTCAAAATTGTTGTAAAAAAAAACAGGTTGTAAAGGACAAACAAATGTATTTTGTGACAAATTTGGTTTATGTCTAAACAGAAATATTAATTGTTTTTAAGATTTTCAAATATTTATATGTTTTTATGAAAGAAAATATTTTTTTAGTGGACGTAAGGACCAAATATCCATATAAAACAATAAAAAGACATACCAGAGGTCCAAACGATATCAGGATAGAAAAAAAACTGAAATAAATATGATCAACAATATTCGTGCATGGTATTAATGGATATACTAAGATACCTCGGGAAATAAGAAAAGAAGCAAATGTATTTTTTAAACTATATTAACATTACATTAACATTAATAGAGCATAAACTAATAAACAGATTTCAACATAACGACTATTGGACTCTTCTATACAACATAATATATTGTTTTAGGATAAAATTTACATGCTACATAGACATTTTATATGGCTGTAGTTAATGACTTTTTGTATTGATATAATCAAAATACGCTCATTAAAAATGTATTATCTATTTACGTCACCACAACTATTAAAAAAATATACAATTATCCTGAATTACATGTACAGTGGACCTTCACTTAACGAGCAAATGAATTGTAAGAAAAATGACTCGCTTAACGAGCGACCTTTCGCATGAAGAATAACAATGAGAAGTCCCGGATTGCGCGACTGCTACATCATTTTTAAAACTTCTGTACACATATTATGTGTATTTTTGATTATTTTTCACTATACGAGTAAAATTCCGGAAATTTTGGAACGAATTAAACTCGTTAAGCGAGGTTCCACTGTATATTCATTTGACTTAATGAAATCTCTAATAAATACAACGTGTTTTCGAAGATATAAAATATTTGTTTAAAGTTTAATAATTGAGAATAGAACTAAATATTGATAATATTGTCTTGCTTAATATTATCGATATCGAAAGCAAAATCTGTATTGTTTCTATAAATTTTAACCTAATTAAAAAGCCTTAAAATTATGCATTTTATTTAGTTTCTCCTTTTGTGTAACTTGAGTATGTTTCATTATCAAAGTGTTGTATTTTAACTTTCGTGTAAAAATATTCGCAAAAGGTAATTTAGCTGAGAATTTTCAGTGTATTGTATGGATAGTAATTTGATCCGTGTTTCCCTTTCGTGTATCCAAAGTTGCAACTTAATCCTGTATATTGTTTCAAAGACGAAATACTTTGAAACAAGAACATAAATTAGAAGATTTGTAGAAAGAATAGCTTTGAACTAAAAAAAAATATTCATAGTATAGATAAAAAATCCTAAATTTATTGCATAACAAAACGCTCATTAGAAACCTAAAATTCAATCATTAAGAAACCTAACATACATTCGTTCAAGGAAGCAGTAAAGTTACATTTCAGGAAACACAAGAAATAAATAAACATCGTAGGCCTTGATGAATTTAAATTGACTAACGAATTGAAATTACCTAAATATTTACTACTGATCAATAAATAAATAATCAATGTACAATTATAGATTTACGTTTGCTACAAGTGAGAATTACTTTATTTCATATTTGTAATTTGTATTTCAAAGTAATATTTCCCAAAATTTAATGACTACTTTTAATTGGGTTGTAACCTTACCTTTACATTTATTGCTACTAACTGCTTCTGAAACGTTGTGGTTCATTATACACATTGTTTATATAACTATACACTCATTAAACACATATATTAGTATAATCACTTTAGTTTTGTACTAAAATCTTCTAAAATTTCATCTTCTCCGTTTGTTATTCGACAAATTAATATAACAATTTTGTTTCAAACTGCCATTGATTTATTGCTACCAACTTCGATTAGAAAACAAAATATTAATGTAATACCAACATGATTTTTATAACTAAATCTAAATGTAACTAAATACAATGAATCTCCTGCAAATAGGAAAAAAAATAAGTCCCGTTAACGATTACGTCCACTGTGGTAAAACAGGTGGTCGATTTTAAACACACGAATAAATACCAGATAAGCAGATTCAAAATAGCCTCGTTATTAAGTGATAGATAAATTTACCATAATTTTCCATATTTACAGTGTTGACAACAAAATAAAAATCGGTATAATTTCGCCATTATTTTATTTTGTTTCCTTATAGCCTTCATTAAAATTCAATTTATGTTTGGTTAATAAACTTGATTTAACGTATTAATTAATTCGTTAAAATATTTTTTTTTAAATTATGAGTGTAATTAATAAGATATTTAATGTATGTGTGTAATCCTAAATTACGTCGCGTCACTGATTAATGGAAAAAGCAAAAGGCACTTTGATCTGAAGCATCCGGTTGTTGCGTTTTCTGCAAAGTGTTAACACGATGATTGTGTTGATTGTATATCGCTTTTATGAATTGATTCATTTTAATATTTAGTTAGTAAGGAAGAAATTCGCAAATTTTAAAATGATTTCGAAAAGATACAAGTATTAATATACAGGGTGGTCGAATTGAACTGCAACCAACTTTTAAACTGCTATAACTATTGAACCGTTGGCAACATTGTCTCCATTTTTCGCCTAATGATAGCTGATTTTATTGTTTATAAGCCTGCGGAAGCATTTGCATCTCAGTTTTTTTGGAAAAAAAGTTATCAGCGATGGAATTCAAACGTAATAGTATGATAGTCCAATATTTGAGCGGAAAACCAAAAGTGGCTATTGTTAGAGACCTCGAACACCTTAATGTGAATAAATCTTTCTTGTTTCGAAGCATAACATGTTATAACGAAGCTAGTTTGTAGTGTTAGAAAATGAGATTTTGATGATCGGAAAAAAACTACACCTGTGGTAGTATTTAACATATTGAATTTAGTCTGCAATGTGATAAGAGGAATACCATAGTTGGTATACCTCTTATTGGTTGCCATTGAATTCGATGACATTAAAACTGAAGTGTCAAATATGTATATTTGACATATCCGTTTACAATTACATTGGAACCTTGTATTGTGAATTATGCTCGCAAACCAAGGATCCAGTGTATAATGTAGATTCAGCAATAGGAAGTTGATATTCCTGGAAATGAGCAATTGTTTCTTTTGCAGTCCGTTGACGTCGAACTCTCCTACGCCGATCTTGGAGCAGACGTGGGTATCAAAAGCTGATGCACCGCCGATGGCAACGGGTCCCTCTTGCATGGGACCCTCCGGCGGCGTGGCGCACACCACCATCCCCATTCCGCAGGCCAGGGAATACGCGGCGCTTACCATCTCTCACAGCGCCCCAGCAAGTCACCAAGCATCCTTCGAGAGAGGGGAGAGCGTCGAACGAGGGCGACAACATCACAACACCAGGTAATCCAATATTGAGTGCAGCCAGCCAGGATCAAAATGAAATAAAACTTCATCCGACGACCCCAGAGAAATTCCGCACGAAGCAATGCTCCTGTCTCTCCAAGACTACATGATTTTTATTATTTTATTTAATATGTCATTTATTGTCCTATATGTTTATAATTTTTGAAAGATTATGGTTATATACAAAATGATATATTTGCATGTATACCAACTTAAATCATGTATTTAACTTAGATACTTAATATTATATGAATATGCAAGGTTTGATGTTTTTTTTATTGACATGCTGCACGAATATACATACAGTGGAACCTCGTTTAACAATTTTAATCTGTTCCGGATTTTTACTCGTATAGTAAAACATATTCAAAAATACACATAATATGTGTACACAAGTTTTAAAAATGATGTAGCACAATCTGGGACTTCTCTTCTCCTTGTCACTCGTTATGCTAAACGTTACTCGTTAATCGAGTCATTTTTCTTACAATACATTTGTCTCGTTAAGCGAGGAACCACTGTACTTACTTTTCAAATTAGTTACTTAGCAAATACCAAGTAAGGAGTAGGTAGTATTTACACTATCAATATAGGGTTGACAACAATGACTTTTTGATCCGGAGATTTCGTTTATGAGGATTTTCTTTTATGAGGATTATTATAAAATTATTAATATATATTAATGTACTTCATTTTCACAGATTATTTCCTGCGAAAATTATTTAACACGTCGACGACGACATGACCCACCGGTGGGTCATACATGATCTATAACAGTCTAGTCTCTACGCACGCCACTGATTTATACTGAGTATAACCTGAAATATATTACAAACTTAAAACGCCAATACATTTCTTATACATATTTTAATAATTTTGGAAGCAATCTAGAATAACACGTGACATTGTGACATAATTTATGAATACTTTACAAAATAAATTGCGATACACATTTGCTATAATATGTTTAAGGATGATTAAGTTTAAGTTTGTAATTGACGTAAGATATTTGACGTTTCACTAAGTTCATACCAAAGCGTCCACGAAAAATTTTCTCGTAGCAGGCGCCGTCCTTAAATATTTCTTCACTCGATGTTGGCAACCCTATAAAAATACCATCAAACATTTGCAAATCGGTCTATACCAACTTAAATGTTATATGCAACAACAGTTACTTACAATTTTTATAACTTCAATTTGTTTCCTAGCAAGTTTCGCGTTGCTAACAAAGTTTAAACAAACAACTACGTTTTATCGTTGTTTTTTTCGTTTAGAAGAAATATAGAATAATCGGCATAGTCGAATGACGAAAGTCCCCACGAACCGGCACTAAATCCTAAAATGTCTTTCGGGCTTTGGAAAAGCCATAAAACCTCTAAATTTACACAATCCGACGTTGCAGGAAAAAAAAAACTTACAGAATCTTCGGCTCAACTCGATGTTCTCACTCGAGCTTCATTAAAATGCATGAAGTGTAAATTATTTCAATCATTACGGATTTTATGGTAGATCATATTTTAAAGGTCAAATAAACGAAATCAGTTTTTGACACCAAAAAGAATTGATATTTATGACAGTAGTTAACTGTCAAATCGTGGAATATTTATTGTCAGTTTAGTTTTTTATTATCAAAAACCAGGATAGAAAACAGTATTATGTAACAAATAATTATTACATAATAAAATATTTTTTTTAGATAACGTAATTATTATAATCTTCTATTATATGACTTAATGACATGATTAAAATTCTTTAAAAACAAAGTTTTTGCTCACTTGTCAAAAATATACAGCAATAAATCAATAATTTTAATGAAATCTCAAATGTCAAAAAGTTGTTTTGAAATGAGTAAAAACTCATTATATTATAAATAGAATTGAAGTGGATGTTGATTTGATCGTTTAGAGTTAATAAAACCGGATTATTATATTACGTTAGGAATGAAGTCATAAACTTAGGTGTGTAGAGTAAGGATGTTTGTCGAGTAAACACTATTAGACGCCTGCAAGTGTAGGTGGATATCTGTATAAAGAAAACACGTAGATCAAGATATATGCAAAAGTACGAGGGTGCGTTTTCGCTGCAATTAAATTTTCAATATTTACTAACCTTCAACGCAAATTTGTTATAAAGATGATCAAAAATCCAACATATTTCATAATCGCATTTCAATACAGCTTTGTCTATACTTGAAAATACTCTCAATGTAATTTATTAAACATACATGAAAGATATAACTAAATTAGATTAAGATTGGCATTAATTAATTATAATTACTGGTTATTTCATAAATTAATGCAATACTATATTGTTTTTTAGGCAGCTGACCCCCAACAGAGTGGCCCACGCAACCAGTTTAGATGCAATAGCTAGAAGACAATGTTTCAAAACTGGATTCCCAACGGTTCATCCTTGTAAGTTTTCAGTTTTCATTTGTTTATTAATGTACAATACTAATCGTTTCAATTGTATTTCAGCACAAAAGCCTTATTTATCAAAGCAATTTCCCAACGTGTCGTCTGAAAGTGACCTACAGAGGTACAAGACTGCTTTTACATCGCACGATCGGAAAAGCCCCAGCCTGAGCAACCCCACGACGGATTCGATGAAGCAAAAAGCAAGTTTACTAAATGTTTACAATCACAATAGAAAATAAGAGATCTAACATCCATCCGATTTCAATTTACGTTAACATTTGAAACAAATCGATTTTCCGCGTGCGAAATTGGTTGCGGCTCTTGAAAGTTGCAACGGTGCTGATAGATTTTTGCACTGTTTGTTTGGTTGCCTACCGTTGCAACACGACATACACTTCTTCCATTAAACTTATAATGAAATAGGCTAAATTCTTATTGAGATAAAACATTTTAATAATAATAATAATAAAAAATAAAATACAGTAATAGAAAAACAAAATAAATATACATAATTTCAAAAAAGTCAAGGGGCTCTTGACCTTTCTACCCTAAGACATTTTATTTATACATTTGCTTATCTTAATTCAATTATTTTACGTAATTTGCAAAATAACTATACAGTCGATTCCGTTTATGATGTGTCCCGACATCGAGATATTTTGTTCCAATTAAGCGGCTGGCCCAATTATCCGAAGTTCCACAAAGGTTACAGGCTTAGTGTTTTTTAATAATTTATTTAATTAAATTGCACAAAATAAAACAAGTCACAAATCTATACGTATGCAAATTAAAAAATTGTATACGTACAAAATAATAGATCAAGAGTGGCCAAAGTATGGCTCGAGAGCCGCATGCGGCTCTTCAAAAGTTTTATTGTGGCTTAGTTAGATTACAGTAATGTAAAGTATATAACAGGAGTAGTCATACTGAGGATGTCGAACCGCATGCCGTTCTTTAAGAGTTTTATTCTTTAGGATTTCTCCCTAGTAAACGGCTGTCCCCATTAACCGGTGTCCCAATTAAGCGGAATAGAGTGTATTTAAAATTATAAACAGGAGTGAATAAACACCAGTATGGCAGAATGTTTACAAAAAAGCCATTTCAATTATATTTCATATGTAAATTAATGAGACTCACCCCTATTACTACAAACTTCGTGTGTTGGTCATTATTTGGAATATGATGTTTTTTTTTAATTACAATCATTTTTAATTGGCACAATGAAATACAAAATTTGGATTAAAACGTTATCGTGCGTATGACATGGATTGATCAAATTGTTAATTTAATTGGACACGAATTGAATTACAACAGAATTACTGTCGATCGTTTCAATGTTACGTAATCCTAATTACAGACATTCATCACCAAATAACTAGCGGATAATATATGTCAATAAACGCATATAATTCATATACAAAATGCAATTCATTCGAAAACTTACGTAATCTGTATTTTCTTTTAGTTTTCGCTGCAAGATAATGGGTCAGCGAAATATTTCCAAAGTGGACTTCACACTCCAAAAATGGGAGAAAAAGTAGCTCAGGTGAGTGAATTATGTTATTGTAATAATCACACTTTTTTCTTTTCAAATTTCTTAAACAGATTTTACATATGAAATAAATAAACTAATAGTCGGAAAATCTGACTAAAGTATCGAAGCTTCGTTATTAGAGGTAACGTTGATCAAACTATAACTGTATTTCAAGCATTAATGCAAGAGAAATAGTTAAAATATTGGACAATATTTAATGAAGTATTGGCTGCAACAGTCGAAAATCCATGCATTTAACATTAAGTTTTAAATATTTATAGAACACTGTATTATTTACATGTTAAACTCCAACCGAATAATGCATACAGTGTCAATGTCAGAGAATAGATACAAAACACACACAGAAAAAACAACAAATTTGTCTCCCGGATGAAACAACATCGAAAACAAAATGCTTTATTTAAATATGTACAGAGGACATTGATCGATTTATTTTCGTTGTATCGTGCGGCCAATGATATACTAATATTGTGGACGCGCCGGGTATAAAAAAACATTGAGAAGATATTTTGAGAGGACGAAGATTGTTCGTTATTGTTAGAAATAATAAATTCAGACATGTTTTAAAATGGAACTGGTATTCACATTTCAATTGCAATTACAAATCCATAACACATCGTGCGATTGAAATAGTTGTTCATTGTTCCATAAACTCTGCAAACTTCTCATAATTACAGTAAAATAAAACTGTAGACATTAAATGTAACATGACAACAAGAGAAATTGTATATATGTATTAATTAGTAAGTAGTTATAAATGACTTTCGAGCATTGATTGTTGTTACCCAGCAAACTTCTATAATTAATCCAGCAAAACTCTTCAACAAACAAACTACATTCACTAGTTGCGATTATCCATTATTTGTTTGCACCATCGATTTCAAATTAAATACAGTCAACAATTATACAGTTTACGCACAGGTAAATCATGATCGATGTAACGAATTTACACACAAAACAGGCGAAACGTGATACCAGTTACAATTGATTACTAAATAAACTGATTACAATTAATCCAAATATTGTTAATTACATTTCGTAACAAACTTTAATAAAAAAAATGTTGAATTAAATTATCTGATAATTAGTTTATTAATTAATTAAATTGCGTAATCAGAAAATCGAATATACAAATTATACAAATGCATAAGAAATATTATTAGGGATCCATGGTTCATCAAGAATAAACAAATTTACGAAAATATCCATATAGATATAGTCAAGGATACAATACCAGTATTTAGTAGTAGATACCAAGATAGACTGGAGTCACATATTAATGTTCTGGCTATTGGCATACTCGACAACAGTGAAACAACAAGCAGCTGAAGCGTTGCAAACACTAGATTCAAAATTGTGGAAACAACGCTGTAATTTGACACATTATGCAAAAACATTTAGTTCAACCTGATTTTTATTTACATAATTGTCATTTTGAACTACAACTATATTGACAAATAGGACTACTCTGTCAACGCTGTCAATAATTTGACACATGAAATAGTACCATTTGTTAATTTTCTTAAACATAACTAAGCCATAAATGATGACACTCTGCCAACACTGCCAGTAACTTGACACATGAAATTGTGTCATTTCTTAATTTTTATAAACATAACTAAGTCAAGAAAGATAACACTCTGTCAACGCTATCAGTAACTTGACACATTATGCAATAACATTTACTTCAACCTGATTTGTATTTAAATAATTGTCATTTGGAAATACAACTATATTGACTACTTTGTCAACGCTGTCAATAATTTGACACATGAAACAGTGCCATTTGTTAATTTTCATAAACATAATCTAGACATAAAAGATGACACTCGTCAACGCAATAACTTGACACATTTTGCAGTAACATTTACTTCAACTTTACGACTTTGTCAACCTGTCAATAATTTGACACATGAAATAGTGCTATTTGTTAATTTTCTTAAATATAACTACGACATAAAAGATGACACTCTGCCAACGCTGTCAGTAAATTGAAACATGAAATGGTATCATTTGTTAATTTTCAGTAACATCTAACTAAAAACTACCATTTGTATCATGTTGTCCTACATAATACATAAATACCTTTATAATATTTAAAAAAAATAGATATAACTTAAAATTTATATTTAATATCGATAATTAAAGTATGTAATTTCTATTAGATAACAACAACAAAAAATAATTTATTAATTGATAATATTCAACATATTCAAGATAGAACATATAAACTTTTTCCTTAGTTTGAGTAAAGATTTAATTCGGTACAACAGTTGGAATGCTCGTGGAAGATTGCAACCCTTTTATTTTTTGCAGCGCATTGAAGGTGAAAGCACAAAGGCAAGGCAAGTTATACGCCCACAAATTTCACCTGTTTTGTAATCTGTTTAAATTGTTGTGTGACCCACTTCGGGGCGGCATGTCAAGCTTCGCTCCATTTCTACATACGGCATACATTAAACGTATATTTAATAACATGTCAAAGTGAAAATTAAAAAACGCTGCGTTTTCTTTTTTACTTCTTTTTATAATTAACGCTCGAATTTTAATTACTATTAAATCTCTTGTTATATTTAATTTTAAATCGAAGAGGTATGAACATGAAGAATAAAAATACAAGTAAGAACTGAACAAACAAAGTGTTTCCAATTAAAAAGATGAATAGTTACGTGACCCAGAAACGCTGTATAACTAATATAATGGAATTCATTTTACACAGTTATGTGAGTACAAGATGAATTATCACAAAGTAATTTCATATTTTTTTGGTACTTTGTCTATTCTCTCGGTTTACATAGAATCAATGTGTTGTACAAGAGATGGAATCTCGAACATAATTCGTTCTTAAAGACAGTTCGAAAACTGAAACTATTTTCCTCGTAAGAATGAATTTAAATTTGATTATAATCCGTTTGCGGAACTCAGATGATTCCTTTACAATTAAAGGTTGAAATTCATTCTATTTACACAATTTTACAAAAAAATACAATTTATATGAAAATGGAACAATTCACAAGGTAACAACTTTTAATATTACATGTGAATATTATTGGTGGACACAATATATCTAGATAGTGCTCCTATCCTCGATCAGTGCGGTTTCAAATAGTGTGGAATATGCGAGATATATTGTTCTTGTTAATATTTCCACTTTATTAACTAAAATTGTTATTTCTATTTTCATTGGGGATTTCTTTTTTAAATCCTAAAACAATTTTAATACATTTTCATAGCCCGTAAGATGGCGTTAAGATCAATGGAGTATTTTTATGATTTATCTTTGGTTTCACTGAAAATAACCGCAGCCTAAAATTATCTTATAACTTCGATTATATTGAATGTCTTCATGAAATCTAAAAAAAAACTCGGAAATGTTCGACAATGCAGTCGTATTGCATTTTATTGAATTTTCTTCTTGTATAAGTTGGTAGGCACGTTGATAGCACGTTCACAAAACATGAATATTTAAATTAAAAAAATCATGGAAACTACCTCCGTTTCCATTACAAACGATAAAGGCAAACGGTAACAATGAAAATTCATATGAAAAGTGTCCTTTGTAAAACGTCTGAATAAATTCACAAAGCAATAATGAGAGGTAATATTCTGCATTCGTTAGGAGGTTGCCACATCAAAGCAATTATCTACAATGAAATCTTTCAATTCATGTAATATAAACGAAAAATCCATGAATATGAACTTAAACAATTCTGAATATTGTAATAAAATATATTTTCAAAAATAAATTAATAATACTAACTAAATTAAACATTATTAGTTAGGAATTGTTATTTTTTAAGAAATCACTCGAAAATACAAGTTGCGAATTTTCGCTGAGAGTTGAAAACTTTTATAAAAGGTTTCGAGAGCTTCACAAAACTTTATTTCTCTTATTTATATATTCACCCCACTTTATTATTTAGAAAAAAAAAATGTTAATGAACGCCACGGATATACAATCCGCACTATACTTACACTTCCTCTTTAGAAAAAAAAGCACACGAAAATAGTATACTAAGTGAGTAAAGAATAGTGAAAAAAAAGTAATTAAGTCCGGATATGACGAAAAAAGATTGGTATCGTACAGAAATTTACTGCCGCAGCTACAAATGGTTTCGTTCCGCACGAATTGGATTATACGACGTGTTTGTTTCATAATTTCATTACCACTACCAAAACAACAACAACAACAAAATCTGCATGACATTTAGTTATATAGATAGAAAATAGTGATATATAATTTACAAATTTATTGTGATTCTTTAGTTTAGTGACATGTAAATATTTTTTGTAATCTTACAAAAACAACTAAAATTGAAATTTTGAACTTCACAAGTTTAAGTTTCAATTAATTCCATATACAAATATTCAATTGATAGTTTAATTATAAATCTTAATATATTCTTCTAATCGGAATCTCGGTTTTCAAACATAATACATTCTTATTAAATATTCTTTCAAAACTGAAAGCATTTTCCAACAATTCAAGAACCGAGTCGTACGCTTTATTTCTTTGTATTATATTTACAGTATTGAAAAATGATATGAGTAGAACATGGAATAATCAAAAGATATTTTATCTTATTATTACTGTCAGAATCTAAAAAAATAACAAATTAAAAATTTATGTTAATTTTCTTAACATCTTAACGCCGAATGTATCATATTTGATACACACTTGCTGCCAAATTTTAGTGTAATTAGAAGAGTTAACAGAACGTAAACTTATAGTTGTCTGACACTAATTATTTTTTTTATGAATTAATTCCGACTTTAAGAGGTTAACATAATTTATACTTTGTCAACATTTAATAAGTAAGTAATAAGAATTTAAAAGATTTATGAAAAGTAGTTCCTATTTAGTTGTTAAGTATACATTATGTTACAATAAAAGCAATATTTTTGGATTACAAAATATAAATTTTCTTTAATTGTAAATATTAATTACAGTAATACCTTATATTGTGCCGCCAATATTTTGCACTGTTTGA